AGCATGAATGGAGGGACATATAGGGCCCAAGAAGTGCTTAATAAAATTAAAAGAATAAAATTTCCATAATTTATCTAAAAATCTATATGAATTTGAAAAGAAATTACTATTTCTACTTTGTCACTTAATTATGTGATTGAACTATCTCATGGTGTTTAGTCCAACAAGTGTATTTTACCTACTCTTGCAGCATATAAACTCAGCATTTGTCAAGTTATTGCCTGTAAAACAAATCTTGGCTTTTTTTTTGTAATGGCTATACATATAATATAGCTAAATATATATGAAATGGGGGAGTCTTCTGGTGGAGACCAGAAAACCTGCTAGACAAATTCTAAAAGAGCTGTAATGGGTATTTTGAGGGAGCACTTTCATATTCAAATCCATAACCTAAAATTCTGGTTTTTGAAACCTGATAACTTTCCAAGTGAAACCTCTGAAAAAGCCCTTCAGACTACATCAAAATTTAAATCTCAACTGGTATGTGGTGCATTAGCCTCCTGGGTCAGAGTGACTGACTGGCTTTCAACTTTTGAAAGTGAATGTTGGACATTTAATGTCAGCATCAAGCTAAATCCTAAAATAAAAGCAGCCAGAGTAGACATGATTTCATGTAATTTAATATTTGCTTGCTTTTATATTATAAAATTTGAATTTTTGTTACCCACTTTCCTGCTACCAATCAGAAATCCAGAGTTTCCCTGATGTACCACTGAATCTAAGATCAATGACCTTGCTGCCAGTACTTGAAGAGCAGAATTACTCTTTTAAAGCAAGCAGCTAATAAGGGTCACCCTTCTGAGTTGGATCAATTTTAACCACAGTGAGACAGAAGTTAAGAACCAGTGTGATGACCTATTTAACTTGAGGTCATTCGAGTCTAGGGTTCTACTGGCAAAAGGACTTACAGATGGAAACAACTGTTTGGGGAGTGACAAGTATAGAAACGCTGCCCCATGACACAGAATACACTAAAACTTATTTTAGTAAGTCTGCAATTTAATAAAGTGGATACATAATTGGACTTAATTGTAAGATCCAAATCACCCTCTTTAACACAATTATAGAATTTCTTGTTTGGCAACAGCTCATATTATCTACTGAATTAAATAACTTTCTGAAGAGCAAGGAATTAATTATCAATATACCATCACATGTAATAATGGAAGAACCCCCTAGTATTCTTTCACTTGGATTTTAATATAAAATCCCACCCACTGCAAATATTTGGAAAAAAAATTTCTACTTCAAAGAGAAATTAAACTTCCAAAGAATGCAATCTATTTTATATAGCACTTACTTTCATTAAAATATTTTTTTAGGTCAGCCATCCTGACTTTGCAGTTTAATGCACAAAATTCCAGTTGAGACTCAAACGTTGACTTTAACATAAAATTCACCACTATAACTGTTTTAAATATCTTCCCCAGTAGCATTTAGTATATTCACAACATTTTACAACCATCATCACTATCTAGTCCCAGAATACTTTCATCACCTCAAAAGGAAACCTTGTACCTATAAGCAGTCATTCCCTTTTCCTGCTTAGGTTTCCTTCCAAGGTTTCCACAATCCTTGGAAACCACTAACCTACTTTCTGTCTCAATGAAATTAGGAATATCCTAATCTGGATAGTTCATATAAAGGGAATCACACAATATTTATCCTTGTATGTCTGTTGTAAACTTTCTCTAACTTGGTAAAGATGTGAGAAATTAGAACACTTGTGCATTGTTGGTGAGGATGTAGAATGGTATAGTCATTGTGGAAAACAGTATGGCAGTTCCTCAAAAATTTAAAAAACAGAATTGCTTTATTATGCAGCAATTTCATTTCTGGGTATATACCCCAAATAATTAAAATCAAAGTCTCAAATATTTGTATACCCACATAAATAGCTGTATTATTCATAATAGCTAAAGTAAGGGAGCAATCCAAGTATCCATTGATGGAAGAATGGGCAAGCTAAATATGGTTTACACAAACACAATGGAATATTATTCAACGTTACAAAGGAAGAAAATTCTAATATATGATACAACACTGATGAACCATGAAGACATTATGCTATGTAGAATAAACGAGCCACAAAAAGATAAACAATGTATGATCCTACTTATATAAGGTACCTAGAGTAATCAAATTCACAGAAACACAAAGAAGAATGGTAGTTGCCAAGCAAATGAGGGTAGAGGGTGAATGGAAAATTATAGTTTAATGGGTATAGAATTTCATTTTTGCAAAATGAAAAGTTAAGGAGATCAATGGTGGCTATGGTTGTACAATATTGCAAAGGTATTTAATACTGTTAAGTTATACACTTAAAAGTGTTGAAGATGGTAAATTTTATGTTGTGTGTAATTTACAAAAAAAAATTAGGAGCAATCAAAGTCTCCGAGAAATTCTAGGTAACATGCCCTAGCACGAGTAAAAGCAGAGATCTATTTATGTGACTATGGTTAATGATAACTCTGGGTAATATAAGGAAAGCCTAACAATTTAACAGTAATGTGATGGCACCCACATGATAGATCTGCCTGCTCATGAAATGCCTCTTGTAATAACTTTTGGTATTCTGAACATTAACACATGAAGTAGAGGTTAAATCGGTCAGTAACATTAAGAGACAAGAGATGATCAAAAATATTCCTATTCAATAGCAAGAAAAAAAAATCCAATTTAAAATGGGCAAAGGACCCGAATAGGTATTTTTTGAAAGAAGATATACAAATGAAAAACAAATATATGAAAAGATGCATAACATTGTTCACCATTAGAAAAATGCAATTTAAATATGTAATGTGCTAACACCTCATACCTTTTAGAATGGCTATTATCAAAAAGACAAAAGGTAAATATTGGAGAGGATTTGGAGAAAAGTGACCCCATGTACATGCTTGGTGGGAATGTAAATTACTCCATCTATTATGTAAACAGTATGAAGGTTCGTCGAAAATTAAAAATAGAATTACCATGTGATCCAGCAATCACACCACTAGGTATATATCCAAACGAACTAAAATCAGTATGTGGAAGAGATATCTGCTCTCCTGTGTACATTGAAGAATTGTTCCCAATAGCCAAGATGTGGAATCAACTTAAGTGTCCACCAACAGATGAGTTGATAAAGGAATTGTGTATATAATTATATATATATATATATATATATACACACACACACCTTTATGTAGAATACAAAAAAAAAATACACACACAATGTAATACTATTCAAATAAGGAAATTCTGTCATTGCAACAACATGGATGAACCTAGAGGATATTATTTGAAGTGAAATAAGTCAGGCACAGAAAGATAAATACCACATGATCTCACTTTATGTGAAATCTAAAAAAGTTAAACTCATAGAAACAAAGTAGAATGGTAGTTCCCAAGGGCTAGAAGGAGAGGTTGTTAGATTTGGGTTAAAGACAACAAAATTTCACTTGGACAGAAGAAATAAGTTCATGAGATTTATTTGTACAACATGTTAATTAACTATGGCTAAAAAGGTATATTATATTATTGAAAATAAAAGAGAGTACATTTAAATATTTTCACCAGAAGAATAACAAGTATGAGAGTTAATACAAATGTACAAGATTTACTTGTTAATGAAAAGAATAAATATAATAATAAAAGAGGATGGTGATTGTCAGAAACTGATGGGGAGGAGACAGAGGATTAATGTTGGTTAAAGGGTACAAAGTTATATTTAGACAGGATAAACAAGTTCTGGAGCTCTGTTGTATAGCATGTTAATTATAGTTAATAATGCATTGCACACTTAAAAATTGCTAAGAGAATATATCTTAGATTTTCTCATCACACACTATGTTTAATATGTAAAGTGATGGATATGTTGATTGGTTTTATTGTAGTAATTGTTTCACATTATATAAACATATAAACACATTACACTGTACTCCATCAAAGCATAAAATTTTTATTTGTCAATTATGCCTCCATAATGTTAGAAATAGGAAATAAGTAAAAGGAAAAAATTTTTTAAAAATTCCTAGTAAATATAAATGCCTCATCAAAATTAGCTTTATAATTATCAAATAAGAAATTAAACATATCATGCTCATGGCTAGGAAGAATCAACATTGTTAAAATGTCCATATTACCCAAAGCAACTTATAAATTTAATGCAATCCCTATCAAAGCACCAGCTTCATACTTTAAAGATCTAAAAAAAAAAAAGTACTTCATTTTATATGGAACTAGAAAAAATCTTGAATAGCCAACACTTTACTCAGAAATAAAAACAAAGCAGGAGGGATCACACTACCAGACTTCAAACTATACTATAAATCTATAGTGTTCAAAACAGAATGGTATTGGCATAAAAATAGAGGTAGATGCATGGAACAGAATTGAGAACCAAGAGATGAACCCTGACAGTTATTGTCATTTGATCTTTGATAAGCCCATCAAAAATATAAATTGAGGGAAAGATTCCCTATTTAGCAAATGGTGCTGGGAGAATGATTGGCGACTTGTAAAAGACTGAAACTGGACTCACAACTTTCACCATTAACAAAAATTGACTCTCACTGGATAAAAGACTTAAACTTAAGACATAAAACTATAAAGATTCTTGGAGAGAGTGAAGGAGGAACACAAAGAAATTGGCCTGGGAGAATACTTTATGAGGAAGACCCCTGGGCAATTGAAACACCAAAAATGCATTACTGGGATCTGATCAAACTAAAAATCTTCTGCACAGCCAAGAACCCAGTAAGTAAAGCAAGTAGACAGCCCTCAAAATGGAAGAGAATATTTGCAGGTTATGCTTCTGACAAAGGTTTAACAACCAGAATCCACAGAGAACACAGCCTCATTAATATGAAAAGAACAAAAAATCCCATTTTAAGCAAGGGACTTGAACAGAAGCCTCTTGGAAGAAGATAGGCACATGCCTACAGACACATGAAAAAATGCTCATCATCTATTAGGGGTCCTCAAACTTTTTAAACAGGGGGCCAGTTCACTGTCCATCAGACCATTGGAGGGCCAGACTGCAGGCCCTGGGATGAGTTGGCTGCTAAGCAGGACAGGCAGCAGTGGCAATAACACCTGGCGGGCTGGATAAATGTCTTCGGTGGGCCACATGTGGCCCGCGGGCTGTAGTTTGAGGACACTGTGACTTTAATCACTAGAGAAATGCAAACCAAAACCACTTTGAGATATCTAACTCCTGTAAGAGTGGCTCACATAACAAAATCCCCAAACTACAGATGTTGGCGTGGATGTGGAGAAAAGGGAACACTTCTGCACTGCTGGTGGGAGTGCAAGCTAATACGTCCCTTTTGGAAAGAAGTATGGAGAATACTAAGGGATCTAAAAGTAGATCTGCAATTTGATCCTGCAATTCCTCTAGTAGGTATATGTCCAAAAGACCCAAAATCACTTTATAACAAAGATATTTGCACCAGATTGTTCATTGCAGCTCAATTCATAATAGCCAAGTCATGGAAGAAGCTCAAGTGCCCATCAACCCATGAATGGATTAATAAATTGTGGTATATGTATACCATGGAATATTATGCAGCCTTTAAAAAGATTGAAACCTTACCTCATTTATGTTTACATGGATGGAGCTGGAACATATCCTATTTAGTAAAGCATCTCAAGAATGGAAGAAAAAATGTCCCATGTACTCAGTACTATTATAAAACCAATTTATAATCACTCACACTTTCATATGAAGAATAGATCACAACTATGGCCCAGGATGAAGGAGAGAGGAAAGGAGATGGGAAGGAAGAGGGGAGGTCAGATCAAGGGAGGGTGAATGGTGCAATCACACCTATGGGTACATAATGCAAGGGTACATGTCGGATCTATTAGTATAGAGTATAAATGTCTTAACACAATAACTAAGTAAACGAGATGAGGTATATATTAACCAGGATGATGCAAGCATTCCTAATTCTATATGAAATCAGCACATTGTACCCCATAAATGCATTAATGTGTACATGATCTATGAGTATGATTTAATAAAAATAAATTAGTGTACCTGAGAAAGTCAAATGTTAAATGATAGTTATAATTCAATTGAAAGAGATGAAAGCAAACTAACTGAAGCACATAAGCAATGTATTGGAAGACATTATTGAAAAGGATCAATTGGTGGTAAGGGAAGGCTCCCATCAGATCTCTTTCTCTTTCTCTATCTCTCTCTCCCCCCCACTTCCCCTCTCTCCTTTCTTTCTCCTTCCTTCTACTTCTTTTGAAAGTTTTCCTCATTTTCGTTAGGGGTAATATCCAATCAAAAGGCAGTTATTGGCAGATTTAAAATTACATCTTCTTAGTAAGAACAATAACAAATATCTCCTAATAGAGACAGAAAGAAAAATCCTGAGAAAGCAATCTAGCAATCTATTTTATTTCATCTGGGTCATGTGTTCATCCCCTACATACAGGTGGTGGAGATTTTTAACTGGACAGACCCAGATCATGTGCTATCCATTCAATTTGGGGTTGTGGTATTGGGAGAAACCCTGTTGCCAAAGAAAGCGTGTGTGTGTGTGTGTGTTTGAGAACAAAGAAAGAAAGAGAGAAAGAAAGAGAAGGAGAGAGGGAGAAGGGAAGATAGAAAGGAGGGAGGAAGGGAGGAAACAGATAAAGAGATAGAGGGATAGGGATAAAAAGGGAGATGTGTTGAGTACCCCCCCAATTACAAATAAATGTTCACCTGCAGGGCAAAAATATTATTGAGAATACAATAGAAATAAAATATAACCTACAAATACATTTGAAATGTTTAAATATATTAACATTTCTGTGGATAATTTATAAATAAATATAATAGAAAATACAATAGAAAATAAAAGTTCATTCCAAAAAAAAAAAGTATATGAACATACTTAAAAGCCCTCAACTCATGAAATTCTCTAACCAATGGCATCATTTGTAGGGACTGACAGTATTCACACTTGTGAAAGTAACCAGTCTACCCAGCTATTTAAAATGAAGAGTGGCTGGTGCGGTGGCCCATACCTGTAATCCCAGCACTTGGGAGGCCAAGGCGGGTGGATTACCTAAGCTCACAGGTTCAAGAACAGCCTGAGCAAGAGTGCAACCCTGTCTCTAAAATAGCTGGGCACTTGTAATCCTGGCTACTTGGGAGGCTGAGGCAAGGGAATCACTTGAGCCCAAGAGTTTGATGTTGCTGTAAAATGTAATGCCACAGCATTCTACCAAGGGTGACAAAGTGAGACTGCCTCAAAAAAAAAAAAAAAGGGTGGTTGGTATATTTGAAAACCACCAAAACTCCATAAAATGTTCAATTTGATCAACAAGTTAAACTTTTGAACATTTTACTTTAAAATTACTTTATAATGAGAGGTAACTGCCTCTCAAAGCTGAAAGAAAACACATTCAGCCAGCTAATTTCAATCAGGAAATATAGAAGGCATGTGACCTATACACTTTAGATGCCAAATTATTTTTCTAAGGGTGCTGCAACCTATGTAAAGCATTTCAGAACACTTGTTTTCCATTCCAACACTTGGCTCTGAGGCAGAGGACTCTAACCTGATGAGTAACTTAGTTTCTAGTCTCCTATAATACTGTCCCTTGGTTCACAATGGCTGATTCCATAAGGTAAAGGCCACCATCTGAACTTGGATGACTTACCTATGGGAGACCTATTCTGTTACATAAGTATGGAAGTATCTAGAATATATTAGATAAGGTAATGCTATAAACAATAAAACCTGAATCTTTGTGACTTAACAAGTTTATTTATTATTATCCTTGTAAAGTGCTGTGTGATGAACCAAATGGTCGTTCATGATTCAGCCTTTTTCCATCTTCTGGCTTCTTAGTGCCTCATTGAATTCTTCATATCTAGTTCTACAAGATGAAAATAGAATGGACTGTTCACAGAGAGGTTATTTATGGGCTAATGCTGAAGGTGTTATATGTCATTTCTGTTCAAGTGAAAAGGGAAACTGATTTGGTTAACAATAGCAAGTCTGCACCACAAGGAGATACCAGACTTTCTAATGTCACTCAACCAAACAACAGTAACTTCCTTTTGAAAACAACACAAAACCTATATTCATGCAAATACTTCCACATGAAGTCATTTAACTGGTCATTTTATTATAGATATAAAAAAGAAAATAAATACTTGTACATAATTGGAGAAGCTAGGTATGAAATATATTGTTGGATCAGTACAATATTGTTTTGGTTGTAATAATATTGGCAATAACAGTATTTCTATACTTTTTTTTGGTCAAACCTGTAGAAATTAGCCATACCTTTCAACCCTTCTCATTTGAAACACTTGCTGGGTTCTACATAATACATTCTCAAACTATGATTAAATCACTGTCTCCCTGAGATCTCATCTTCTCACTTTCCTAGAGTTCCTCATCACTGATGAATCACACAGGGTTAGGAATGCAGGAGGGGATATACTTAGGATCCCCCTGAGCAACCTAACTTACTCATTATTTTTATTATTTACTGTTTTCCAGTCAATTCTGTAAGTGCTACTAAAGACGAACTTTTACATCATCAATTTAAGTTTATTAATTGTTAAATTTCCATCTTATCAATAATGTGGCATTTATTTTATTTTATTTTTTATTTGGTTCTCTGAGTTTTTTTTTTTTCTCAACTGCTTCATCTTTGAAATTGTTTGCCTTTCTTTCCTAGAGGAAATATCCTTTTGAATTTGCAAATAATCCAAGCATATATTTTCCAACAATTTCTAGCTTCTTGTAGTAAGTTTGTTTAATAGGAAGGTGAATTTTCTAAGATCTATTTTACTCAAAATGTTTATAAGTTTGATTTTATTTATATATTTATATCTTTTACTCCTTTTCCTAAAGATATGTGTGTATGCACATATACTGGGGGTGCCAAAAATGTATACAGATTTTAAGAGGTGTTATCTATGTATTAATTTTCATTTTCCATAATCAGAAGTGTCTGGATGCTGATGGTAACCACTTTGACTACATCTGGTAATTGGAGACGTCAAACATGACAGTATTCATCTTTTGTTATTGGTATATATTGAGTATCACAATTGTAATACGTCTTTTTCCTTTCTTCAAATGTGTGTACCTTTGTTGGCAACCTCTGTGCATACATATACATTCATGTCTAACCTCTTCTATTTTATTATTTTATATTGTTCTACATATCCCTTTTATAGTTCCCTTAAATTTATTATTTTAATCTTATAGAAAGACTAGTATTTTGAAAATAGAGTATTTCTGCTTCCAAAAATGTCAAAATAATTATGCTTTATATGCTATGTTCACATATTATATTCTTAACTTTGTTTTTAGGTGGCAAGAGGTTATATTATTTTGTTATGGTAGTAATATGAAACTTTATATGCATGTTTTACCAACTAGTTCTGTTTTTAAAAAAATTTAAGTAGCTTAAGAGTCTAGACATAAGAATTACTCTATTGAACAGTCAAAATATTGTCTTAAGAATTTATTGGCAACTCTCTCCCACATTCTGAATTTTCATTTTTCTACTCTTCTTTCATGAACAGATTTGTGTATTATGTAATATAGAGAAATAGAATTAAGAGGAAAGCAATAAAAATCATTCTATAAACTTTTTTTTAATAATACATACATGCACAGGTGTGGCAACATATGTAATGAACTTCAAATAATCTTTGTATGAATTTTCTGCAACTGGAACTATAGTTCACATGGTTTATATGAGACATATATATATATCATATAAAAGTAACTTCTGAAAGAAGTTCAGAAGTTCATATATATATTAAAGTAACTTTTCTATATATACTTCATATATATATACATGAATATATATGTATATATACTTTATATATGTTAAATATATATATATACACACATACATACATATATAAGTAACTTCTGAAAGAAATATTCCAGGGATGATAGAAATCTTGGAGTCAAAAGTAACTAACATAAACACCTAAGGAAAACTCAGGTTCTAGGACACTATCTAAGAGTACAGAGGATACTAGGTGGGGAATTGTTAGATATTGGGAAATTGCATTATTATATCAACCCATCTGGAGATTTTGAAGCAGTCTTTATGTTTGAGAACTACTGATCTAGCATACCAACTGCTTATTTTACAGCCATAGAACAAAGAACAAGGTGATTAAGTAATCACCTT